TAAGTTATCTATCAAATATATGTATTTACATTGCCGAATGCTATAATGTTATAGTCGAACTATTAACAAATGTTTAACGAATATCTATATTGATTTTTATGCTGAGTGGCACCAAATGGCATAAATTTGGCTTAAATTTAATTATAAAAAATTTAAAAATTCGGCAATAATTCGACATGCCGAATAACCAAATTTCGACTAGTGATATGCAATAGCATTCTCTTGTTTTTCTTCTCATTGAACTAAAATTGTTTTTAATCCAATATCAGAAGCATTAGTATAGAGATAAAATAGTTTGTTAAAGTTAGAATATCTCAGAATTGATACAGAAATTAAATATTATTTTAATATTTGAAAGAATTTTTCTTGATTTTCAATTTATTCAAAAAATACTTGTTTTTTCAAGAGTTAATTTAATGGTTTGACAATAGTTGAAAAATTGATAATAAATTTTCAATAGTAAAATAACAATTCTAGAAATCTATAAATTATTTAATATTGTTTGGTCTTGAATAGTTTTTTACTTTAATAATTTTATTATTATCTGATATAATTCTCTTATAAATGATTTCATATCTTAAAAGTTTGATACTAATAAGAAAAAAGTGATATTTCTTTATATTTAACTTTAGATTTGCTTAATAAAGAATATTCAAAATAATACTCATATATAAGAATAAATCTCAAAACTATTTAGTATATAAAATTTTGCAGATTAATTATATCCTTTTGAAAGAAACATAATTATACATATGGTAAAATTGAATTCAACCATTTTTCAAAAACCATATTATAGTAGAATTACTAAATAACATATAATAAATAATTGGAATTTGTATTTAATTCAGAATCGTATTATCAATCAAATTTCCTTTTATGATAATACAATTACATGTATGGATATAATTATTTACTCTTTATTTTAATAGAAACATAATTCAAAAAACATTTAAATTAGATGGTCTAAATTACAAAAAATCTTTATAGGTAGTTGTTTTTAATTTTTATATTAAAAAAAAAAATTTTTTTATTTATTTTTAAAAATATATTTAGAGATCAAAAATCAATAATAAATATTTAAGTATTAAAATAACATATATATAAAAGTCTTATATTATATTTCTAATTTTAAATATTTAATAATATATAATATATCTTTGTTTATTATAGAAAAAAAACCAATAATCTTGAATTTATAAAAAATATAATATTATTTTCAAAATAAATAAATAAAATTTTTAATTTTCTTTTTTTAACAAAATTATTTAGATAATTAAATTAATAACCATAATAAATTATTAAAAACTTTGAAAAAATAATTAATAAAAAAAATTTTTTAAAAAAAAATTTAAGTATTTAATAAATTTATATACAAAATATTGTAAAAAAAAAAAATAACACATTTAAGAATAATAAACTATAAAATTCCAATAAAAATTTTTAAACAAATCATTTTCATCTATTCTATACTAAATATTGTTAATTAAATAATTATATTAAAATTATTTAAATTTTCAATTTACGGTTGACATATTATTTAACAAGTTTTTATTGTACTATTTAAAAATTTGACCCTTCAACGATGCAGAATTATGCATTATAAATAAATACCTTTTATACCAGCATAAACCAGATAAGAATCGCGCCGTTAGTACAGTGGTAGAATTGAAGCTTCCCAAGCTTTAGCCCCGGGTTCGATTCCCGGACGGCGCATTATCATTAAACACAATAAGGGCATTTCACTTTTTCGTGGAAATATTATTCCTTTAAATTTTCGAGCATCGATTAAATCATGCGTCAACAATATAGCGACATTTGGTGAGGATGTCAGATATATTAATCTGAGAAACGTAATCTTTTATATAGCTTATAAATTGCCGGCAGGAGAAAACAAACTGATATGATAAATCTTACAACAGGATCTATTACTATCCAGTACAAGCACACCATCGGTTACAAACTAATTAAATTCATCTATCCTCATGTGATTGGAAATAGGGAAAAGAGTAATTTATCAAACCATTAAAGGAATAACAGGCAGGAATTTATATAAGGAAAAAAACATAAAAAGCATAATAGATTATTCTTTCTGCGTGGGTAGTTTCTTTAAGAAATTAACCATGAGCCAAGGTAATGAAACTATTGCCCGACTCCAAATGCCAAATTTATCGATCCTCAGCCCATTCGTTTTCCTTGCGAATTTGTTCCTCTTCCTCAGGAGTGAAATCATTGACTATATTGAATGTGGAACGGATTTCCTCGGGAGACTTTCCTTTGATCATGTTGGCCACAGTTTTGCAACCAATGTCCCTATAGATAAATGGAAGCGAATTTTAACAAATCACAGCCAAAAAAAGCAATCATACAGTGAGCATTAACGGAGAAATTAGTACAATAATGGTTTGATATCCAAGTAGTTAGCAGCCTAAATAAAAAGTAACATTTTAGAAAAAAAACTCTAAATTCAATTAATAAACCTTTTCAAAGTGCAGATGATAACAAACCAGAATGATCTCAAAGAGCATGTCCTGTTCAACATTCAGAAATCTTTGGTCCCAATCATCGATTTCAGTGTTCCTCCTGCGGGAATCATCATCATCATTCGTAGGTTGAGGGTCATTGACATGATGCGTACACCATTCAAGAACCTATTATTTACAAGTCGTATGATTAGATTTGCGCATTTTGTTTTTATATCGCATAAATTATTGAATTGAGTTAAAATATGCCTTTTTTAAAACTTTTTCGTTGACGTTAGGAAGGGGAATTGATTGATCTGTCTCTCCGACGTCTTTATGATATATAGAAACGCGTTAGCTTTTTTGACAAAAACGCGAAAAAGATTCAACCCAACTAATATTAACAAGTTTGCGATCACGCGAAAGTAGGGTCACTCTGAGTGTAGAAAAGAAATGTCCGAAGGTACCTTCAATCATGTTCTTAAGCAAGATGGAACGACTAGCGACAGGTATGTCAACTTTGAATTCGACATCGTCGCAACTTTTCAAGGTAACCTTCTTCTCTTCACCGGCATTTCCACTAACGCTAGTACTCATTTCTGAAAATAAAACGTTATATATATGATTTCTTTGGTCTGAATAAGGATTCTACGTTATAATGAAAAAAATAAAATATAATGGGTTTGGACGTAATAGATGGATTTGTGTGCGTAACCGGTGTAACCTGCATTTTTATTGAAACGGTGACGGATGTCCGGAACGATTTCTGCCAATAGTCTCGTTCCCCGCAGCAGCAACACCAGTAACATCAAAGAACATTCATACGATCTATTAATTACTCGCACAAATTTGAAATTTTGACTTTACTCTTTATCTGGCCAATTAAGTTTATGTATTAGTTGTTACTTTTTATCGTTTATGATGAATATTAAAATTAATATAATATAAAGCGCTATCGTATTTATATACAAAAACTTCAAGCCAAAAAAAAGTGTTATTTTAACTTCCACTAGACATATTCTTCTGGAACCTATATAATTAGACAATATATATATATATATATATATAAAGTGTTGAACTGTTCAAACTAATATAATTCAATCGAAATTGTACCGTGAACATAGGTTTTGTGAATTCAATTGAATAAGACTTACAATCTTTGTCAAGATGGGGATTTGGCAGGTGGGCGGGGAAACGTATTACGTCTGTCGCCACCACGACCTCCACGTTGTGCGTTCATACCATT